CATGGTCTAGGTGTCCAGATCGCCGGAGATAACTTGTCAAAGCAGAGATACCCTTACCCAGGAAATCCCATAAATATATAGTTCCCCCTTAAGTAGATAGAATATGGGGATCTTATTTTGATATACCCAAGGCCATATTCTATTTACTTAAGGGGGACTATAAACCACACTATCCCTATACCCAGAAGCTCGAAGCCCATAAATCTGACGCCCCAAACCCTTCGGCCCCTACACCTTCCACCCTGCCCCCGTCAACCCTGAGCTCCAAACTGAAACCCGGTTTAGGGTTTAGGGTTTAGAGTTTATACCATGGGAGACCCTAGGGATCCAAATTAGTCGAATTGACTATAAGCTCAAATTGCCTGTCCACAAAATAGAGAGCAAGGTTTGTACTAACCTTGGGGATCCAAATAATCCAATGTAGGTAATATTTACGGCCTTTGGGGCCCAATGTAGGTATTATTTGTATACTTGGATCCCTAGGGAGAGGCCTAAAATAGCAAAAGCTGACCAAAGCCTTGTCCTTCTGCTTTAGCTCTTGAATTCTGTCTTACATTTTTGAATAAGTGATAGGGCCTAAGCTAAACTGTAAAAGGAACCTCGGACTCTAACCCGAAGCCCTGGACCCCTGCGCTGAACAAGAAACCATGAATGAGCGACCTGCTCAAGGCGCCTTACAAATGACAAATGTGATTTCGAGGTCTATTTGAGCTACCCTATAGTCCTATGGAATAACTCTATAAACCCCTTGATAAGCCGAGTTTCCATGTCATTCCTTGGGCATTTGATTCTGCATCATTGGTACCCAAAACCCAACCTCCCAAACCCTAAACCCTGAACTCTTAGTACAGACCCTTCCCCCCAAGAGGCACTTTCGACTCCACCAGAGCTTTGCTTCGTACTTGGACCTGGGCGTAACTAGTTAGGTAAATAACGAAACTCTGGAGTAGGGTTTTGGCTGGTGTTTAGGGTTTAGGGCTTAGGGTTGGCATGCATGCATATTCTGAAGCACCCATGCTATTTACAATTGCAACATAGGGGGATACAGGTTATAACCTTGTTTGTAGTTGTACCGATATGGGTATACAGGTAAAAAACCTGCTCACAACTTAAGAGCATTCTCTTACCTAGCTCCTTTGCTTACGTGTTTCATGATCAACTGCAGTGTGCATTTGTATACATACAATGTAGCTATGCAAGTATATTGCACATGTAGGTAAACATAGCTGTGCCTATAAGGTTTCTATGGGTTCCGCAGGCTACATAGGACCATGCAAGCTTGCGTATCCAAACATAATAAGGCCCCTCTAAGGACTCCGGTAATGAACCTCAAAAACGAGGATATCTCGCATGCATTCATCCAAGGCATTATATCGCATGATCGAAATGTATGAAAAAGACACAGGACAGAGTTTAAACCTCATGCAGCATCCCCCTTAATAAGCCCAAATAATCCCGTAAATAAATCCCTACATTCTACATAACCACCTTTAAAGAGTGTAGATTATCGTTCATAAAGGGCCATGCCAGAAGGAAACCCGCTCCCTGCAGCTTCTGAAATTGGAGCTGCACAGAGGGACGCCAGCAGAAACTATGTCGCAACCCTTGGTCAGTGCGGCTTACCGGAAATAGGAAGCCTCAATCTGAAGGCAACTATTTCTACAGGACTTGTATCAAAGGACGTTCTTTGGGTCTCGATTGACAAGTAAAACATGGGTCTCATGGCTTCTTTGGATTGGATGTTCCGTTCTATGAAGGGAAGTTTGCATGTTCCGATGAATTAGAAGCCATGCTGAGTGCAACAGCGACCTGATCCTGCTTAGCGACTGGGGGACCAGCGAAAACCCTCGAATCCAACAAGCCCAAACTAGGTTCTACTCATAGAGCTGGGTGCCTAAATGTGTGTGTAATCTGTAAACTTGGATCCCCAGGGCAGGTGCAAGCTCCACGCCAGAACTCATTAGCCCTCAACTCTTCGAATACGAGTTTGACGGCCAGAAGTGATTAGGGGTAATCTTAGGGTTTAAAATTAGGGCAATATTAGGGGTTATATGGGGATAATGGAAAAGAAAACGGAAATTGCCATAGTAGAATAGGGTTATATAGGATTCTATTAGGGCAATATAAAGGCAAAATATTGGGATAATGGAAAATGAAATGGACACTACTTTTGGGTTTAGGGCTTAGGGGGGTTGCAAGCAATCAGAACCATTGTGATGCTTGCAGCAATTGCGGACCGTCCTATGTAAACTCTGAATCCACATGGCAACTACATACCTCAACTCCAAAGCCTCTCTAAACCCTAAACCCTAAACCCTAAACCCTAAAAGGAAGACCACGAATTTAAGGGCTGAACATGATCTTCTTGGCTGTTCATCTTCAAGCTTGCATTGTGCCTGGGCTGCGCTCTGACCCGGCGCACTAGGGCTCGGTCTGATTCTTCGGAACCGGTCCAGGTTCAGGTTTAGGGCTTGCCTAGGCCCTCCAATGTAGTACCTTGTTGGTAGCTCAAATAAGAGTACTAACCAAGAAAACATACCAAACCCAAAAAGGAGCTACATTGGAGGCTCTAGCTAGGGTTTAAGGTGTAGGGTTATCCAGGACGGCAGCATACAGTAGTACCGGCGTAAGCAATTGGAGCCTTAGGGGGGTCCGGGGGGTCCCAGAGTTTCAAACATTGGCGGTTTAAGCTGGACGCTGGGGATTCAAGTTTTATGGGCTGGGGCTCCCATCCAAACGTGATGTTCTAGACCCCTCCTGAGCACTAAACCCTAAATTCTATAGTAGTTTCCATCTCATTTTCCATTATCCCAATATACTCCTATGTAACCCTATACAACCCCATATTACCCCTGTAAGGCTCCCAAAAAAGGTTAAGGTTGCCAGGCAAGAGCTTCAGGCATCCTTTTTCATAGCAAAAGCCGCACCCTTCGAGTGCGGGTAAAGGAGCTCTCATACAAGTAATAGTGGATTTGTACCCATTGGGGTAATATTAGGCGTTTAGGGTTTAGGGTTATGTTGGGGTTATATTGGGATAATGGAAATAAAATGGAAACCACTATAATTCCCAGGGGTTATATAGGGGTCATATAGATCATAGTTTTAAAGCAGGGTGACATGCGAGATAGCTCACACTGTCCAGTACAAAGCTCTTTTTGCTGTATGCCTGCATATACGGCCTGAATGACATTCAATGTTTTTTTCTCCATACTAGCCCGTTTATTAGTCCTCAAAGTCGATTGAACCCCCAACCTGAAAAAAATCTGCAACTGACAAAATATACCGCTATATAACCCCATGATACTATAGTTTCCATTTTCTTTTCCATTATACCAATATAACCCCAATATAATAGCAATAATGGTTGATCATAAGATTACTAACCCCAAAAGTGAACTCCAAGCACCTGGAGCCCTCATACACTTAGATCCTCAACGCCTCAACACACCCAAAGCTGAAAACCGAAAATCCACAAACCCACTGAGCTCCTACAACCCCATCCACCCCTCCAAAGGGTCCACCTAGGTATGTAACCCATAGGGTCCCTTTACCAAATGATTGGGTACTTGGTTTTGGGTACTCGCAATTATAGTACAAGATTTGGGTAATTCTATGATTATTATCTACTTGGACCATTAGGGTAATATATCCTATATACTTTGGGCCCAGGGGGTTCCTGTGTACCCATTTTTAAGCCTAAGTATATACTGTACAGCTGGATGAGCCATAGTCTAAACTCCTGCAAAGGGATTAGGAGGATTACATACGGAGTATCATATGGGCTACGAAGGGGGATATTAGAAGTTTAGGCTACAACCCCTATAAACCCCTATATAGTACCAGTTTCCATTTCATGTTCCATGTTCCTTTCCATTTGATTCTCCATTATCAATCGGGATACCAGGGGTTTAGCCCGTTAACCCTAAACACTATACTATAGGCGCTATGAAAGGGGATACTAGAAGTTTAGACTATAGCTCAGATGGAATTTTCGTGCTTCCTCCGAAAAATGGCAGCCCTGTTGCGCCATCGGACTGGCGTGCTCGATCAAACCCTCCATGTGCGCCTGAGTATCGCATAGGGATTAGGGCTTAGGATTTCGGGTCCGAACAGACTTCCTACCAAAAAATGCAACTGGCAAAAGGGGTCACTGGATAATTACTTTGATTGTGAAAAAGGGGGCCTATATCAGCCTCGACGTTCGTCTAGGGGAAGCAGGGCTTGAGATTTGCAACTGACTGTCCACGCCCTTACCCCTATGGTGGCTGCTCAGAAGCCATGACCCGAAAAGCACTGTGCTGATTGATATTCAGGATCCTGCGTGCCCCTACATACCTCATACCTTGGGAACGGTGGCATTACAGCATGCTAAGGTCATGAAAGATTGTTAGTATCACAGTATAGTCCTGAAGGTGGAATCCCCATGATCTCCTTCCATCCCCAAAAATGTCTAGACTTCGTAAGGGGTTCTTAGTATCCACAACCAAGACCCTTAGCATTCCTCAATTCCATAATCCTCAGAGCCTTCAGAAACCCATGACAATTTACCCACCAGACCCTCTGTACCTGAGACAAAGGTCTTGGGCCCTTATTCAGGGTCGCTATTTTCTATTTTTCGGGGGGCCC